CCCGGGAGGCAGAGGTTGTGGTGAGCCGAGATTGTGCCATTGCACTCAGCCTGGGCAGCAACAGCAAAACTCTGTCTCAAACAGACAAACAAACAAACATGGTTATTTAGTCTCAAGGGTGTGCTTAGTGTGGAGTGACTCCCCTGCTCAGAATTCTACGGTTCTCTCAAAGGTTTGCAAGGCAGCGCCAGGGAACAATTAAAAATAAAATAAAATAAAATAAAAGCAGAAATGAAAAAATCTTTGAAATGTGTGGTTTTTTTTCCTTCTTTTTCAGGGAGGGGCTTTTTATTTCATGGAGCATGTGGCAGCTGAGCGTTCGACCTGGAATTCTTTCTGGCAACAGGTCCTGGATCCTGCCTGGTACCTTCTGTTTGATGGGTGCAATCTGACGAGAGAGAGCTGGAAGGCCCTGGAGCGGGCGAACTTCTCTAAGCTGAAGCTGCAGCACATCCAGGCCCCCCTGTCCTGGGAGTTGGTACGCCCTCATATCTATGGACACGCTGTGAAATAGTGTGAGCTGGCAGTAAAGAGCTGAATGGCTCAAAGAATTTAAAGCCTTAGTTTTACATTTAAAATGCTAAATGGGAGAAGAGAAGCCTTTCTTTGTTTTTTGTTTTGTTTTTTATTTTTGAGACAGAGTTTTTGCTCGATGCCCAGGCTGGCGTGCAGTGGCGCGATCTCGGCTCACCACAACCTCTGCTCCCAGGTTCAAGCGATTCCCCTGCCTCAGCCTCCCGAGTAGCTGGGATTGCAGGCATGCGCCACCACACCTGGCTAATTTTGTATTTTTAGTAGAGACAGGGTTTCTTCATGTTGGTCAAGCTGGTCGTGAACTCCCAACCTCAGGTGATTTGCCTGCCTGGGCCTCCCAGCGTGAGCCACTGTGCCTGGCCTGAAATCTTTTTTAGGTAAAGTTGAATTCCATCCTTAAAAGTTTCTGTTATATCCTATTTAGCCACTTTCTATTGTTGCCCAAAGAATTCACATAAAAAAAAACCAGCTTTGAACCCCCTCTTCAAAGGAAGCACTGAACTTTCATAATTAACATCTACCATCATCCCCAAATCTTATTTTATTCAAAAAAAATTTTCAATTTTTTTTCCAATTGCCTTTTTTTTTTTTTTTTTTTTGAGACGGAGTTTCACTCTTGTTACCCAGGCTAGAGTGCAATGGCGCGACCTCGGCTCACCGCAACCTCCGCCTCCTGGGTTCAGGCAATTCTCCTGCCTCAACCTCCTCCGTAGCTGGGATTACAGGCACGCGCCACCATGCCCAGCTAATGTTTTTGTATTTTTAGTAGAGACGGGGTTTCACCATGTTGACCAGGATGGTCTCGATCTCTTGACCTCGTGATCCACCCGCCTCGGCCTCCCAAAGTGCTGGGGTTACAGGCTTGAGCCACCGCGCCCGGCCTCCAATTGCCTTTTTTTTAAGGCTAGAGCAGAAGTTTACTAGGCAAAAGAAAGAGAATAGCTCTCTGTGGCAGAGAAGAGTCCTGGAGAAATCGGCCACCCCAGTTGTGTTATTTAAATGGTTACCCATCAGATTTTAATTTCATCTTCTCTGAGAGCTTGGTGATAAGAAGCAGTTAAATCACTCAAAAGAAGACTTTAAAAAGGGAGCAGTGAAAAGGTCTTAATAATTCACTTAATTAAGAAATACTAGCTAATTAAAAATCTAAGCCTAAACAGCACAGATTTTCTTTTCTTTTTGCTTTTAAATTGTGTTTTAAAAATAGAGACGGTGCCAGGTGCAGCGGCTCACACCTGTAATCCCAGCACTTTGGGAGGCTAAGGCGGGCAGATCACGAGGTCAGGAGACCAGCCTAGCCAACATTGCGAAACCCCATCTCTATTAAAAATACAAAAAAAAAAAAAAAAACAAAAAAAGTAGCCGGGCATGGTGACAGGTGCCTGTAATCCCAGCTACTGGGGAGGCTGAGGTGGAGAATGTCTTGAACCCGGGAGGCGGAGGTTGCAGTGAGCTGAGATCATGCCATTGCACCAGCCCGGGCGACAAGAGCAAGACTTCGTCTCAAAAAAACAACAACATATAGAGACAGGGTCTCACTATGTTGCCTAGGCTGGTCTTGAACTCCTGGGCTCAAGTGATTCTCCCACCATGACCTCTCAAATTGCTGGGATTACAGGCATAAGACTGCGCCTGGCCAAAATAGCACAAGTTTCTGAAAAAGAAATCTGAACCTATTTGTTGTTCTTAATTCTGCCTTTCAGAATTAACATACAAGGCTGTCACACCTAGTTCTGCCCAGCTTTATGTCTTTTATTCCAGTACTGCACCAATGTTTGTTTTCTTGCATTCCAGTTCTCAAGTCTTAAGATAAAGATTGTACTTGACACTTTAATATATCCATAAAACTATTTGAGGCGGTTAAGTTTCTTGGGCTCATTTTCCTTATTATCTAGCACATACTTTGTTGAATATAATAGATTGTAGGCAATGAAAAAGCCCATTATTAGAAATACCTTTAATAATTAGGTGTACTATTAGGAGCCCCTAATCATCAAGCAATCTGTGAGTCTGTAAAGAAGTAAACAAATATTTTTTGGATTATTCTCATCAAATTCCACCCCTGTTCCAAGATGATTTCTTTCTTCTTTGCAACTATGGAAGCTGTGAAAATCATCACAAGTGCCTCTAAAAGCAAGCGTTAAGTTGGTTAGAGGGTTTAATATTTCCTGCAATGGTTTGTATGAGTTTTAATAAATGTAGTATATTTTCTGAGATGATTTTGCAAAAGTACTATTTTAAGTATCAAATCAACCAATAAATTCACATTCATGTTAGGAACAGAAATATGGTCTGTATCTTTGCTGGCTTGGTTTCCTTTTTCTTAATGTCTCTGGGAGGTATTTCCTTCACTGTGAAAATTTTAGCTTTTTAAACGTACAGATTTTTCTTTCAACAGCCAGTCAACTATAAACACAGCTAATGGATTTTAGACAAAGCAATATTGGAAGTATCAGAATGGGTTTTGAAAAGTTCAAGTCCATGATGCGATCATGTTTGGCTACTTTAAAAAAGCAAAAAAGTTCAAGTTTAAAGATCCCACTTGTGAAATCCACAGAGCAGAAAGAAAGGAAACTACTATTTTAACTAACTCTTGGACAGGAAAAGTTATTGATGCAGTGAGGTTCGATGCACATCACGCTTCCTATGCTCTAGAACATGAATCTCCTTCCTCTGTCATCTCCCCTGAATAGGAACCTCCTTAATCTACCCATCTCACTATTGGTTAGGTCAGCCTAGTGACTGAGAAATACAAAAAGCCACAGGTTGAAATGGTGAAATGTCATGACATTGATAGATAATACCAAAGTACAAAGTCCTAGGCACAGCCTTATCAATTCCCTTTTGTCTAAGTGGTGTGGCAAATATTATCCTCACTTTTCACAGACAAAACTGAAGTGTAGAAAAGTAAATAAATGAAGTTTCTTTTTTTTTTTTGAGACAGAGTTTCGCTCATGTTACCCAGGCTGGAGTGCAATGGCGCGATCTCGGCTCACCGCAACCTCCGTCTCCTGGGTTCAGGCAATTCTCCTGCCTCAGCCTCCTGAGTAGCTGGGATTACAGGCACGCGCCACCATGCCCAGCTAATTTTTGTATTTTTAGTAGAGACGGGGTTTCACCATGTTGACCAGGATGGTCTCGATCTCTTGACCTCGTGATCCACCCGCCTCGGCCTCCCAAAGTGCTGGGATTACAGGCTTGAGCCACCGCGCCCGGCCCTAAATGAAGTTTCTTATAGTCATTCCACAAGTTACTGAGCAAGTCTTAGAAGCCCTGACTCCACAAACCACAAAATCTCCTTTGATAGTCACTGCTGCCATAACCCCTTCTTACTGCTTTCCTCCATGGGCCCAGAGAACACACATTTATAATCATTTTAAAAGCCTGAGGAAATGACATCAGCCTGTGAAAAAGGGAGAAGAAAAAAGGCAAAACACGTCCAGTGTCTTTTAGGTTAAAAAAAAAAAAAAAAAAAGAACACTTCAAACAGCATGTTGAAAAAATGCACTGCAAAAAAGAAAAAAATAAGAAGAAGAATCCTTTGATCCTAAGTGACAGAATCCGAATCCAAACAGGCTTAAGCAGAAAAAGGACTCCAACAACTCAAATCAGTGAAAATCATATGGGCAGAAAGCCTCAGGCACAGCCTGAGCACAGCTCAAATAATGTTGCCAGGGGCCAGACGATCTCCAAGGTCCTGTCTGCCCTCCCCGTTGCTCTATTAGGTAGCAACTATTATGTAATATTTGCTTCACTTTCTATTCAAGTTTGAAATATATAGGAATTCAGATGAAACAAATATTAGGACACTTAGGAACAAAATGTTTCAGAATACAAATATAAGACATTTTAATGTATCTTTTTTTTTTTTTTTTTTTTTTTTTGTCAGCCACTGAAATAAGCGTTTGGCTCACTGTCTCAGGGTCTTAACAAGATTTGGGAAGAAATCTGGATTTCGCTGTATTTTTATCAGACCCTGCCTGTTTCCTGTCAGAGATCATATAGTACAATGCTTATAACACTGGATTTTCAGTGGAATAACTGCTTGCAACAAAGTAAAAGACAAAATAAAACACTGGCTTTGGCATCAAAGTGACCTGGCCAAGTCCTGGTTGTGTCATTGGTTGACTCTGTCGCCTTGAGCAACTTATCTGTTTTTTCATCTGCAAATGGGGGTATCTACCTAAAAGGTTATGATGAGGAGTAAATGAAGCAATGCACTTGGTACTTAATATATGTTGACTTCATTCAACAGATATTTATTGAGTGTCTACTGTGTGCTCTGTTCTTGGTGCCTGGCTTAGAGCCCTAAGTAAACTAGACATATCCCTCCTGCATGGAGCACACAATCATGATGAAAATGTTTTCTATCGATGTGGAAGCAGCTCAGGGTGCCCAGAGAATGTAATCCGACCTACCCAGGGGAAGAAGCTCTGAGGCTTTCTTGAGGAAATAAGATCTGAGCTGAATTTCACAGAATGAAAAAAAAAAATTTCAGCCAACTAGACTAGCTTGTGCCACAGCCAAGTGAAAAGAGGAAACTCACTATATTCAAGGAACTGAAAGAAAGCAGGCAGGGCTGGCACCAGAGCCTCGAAGGCAGATTCTGGGATGGTTACTGTTTCCATCAGTTTCTTCCTAAATCTTGTTAAGACCTTGAGACAATGAGCCAAACACTTATTTTAATGGAAGACAAAAAAAAGATACATTAAAATGTCTTATGTTTATATTCGGAAACAATTTGTTCCTAAGTGTTCTAATATTTGTTTCATCTGAATGCCTACGTATTTCAAACTTGAATAGAAAGTGAAGCAAACATTACTTAATAGTTCCTTTGGCTCTCTTGATCCTCCCATAAGCCTTCCCCTCTGGTCTTGCTTTAGAAAATACAGAACTTGGCCGGGCGCACTGGTTCACGCCTATAATCTCAGCACTTTGGGAGGCCGAGGTGGGCGGATCATGAAGTCAAGAGATCAAGACCATCCTGGCCAACATGGTGAAACCCTGTCTCTACTAA